CACGAAAATAATAGGAATTCCAAAGAAAAAAAGATCTAAATCGAAAATTTAGAGCTGATTTTATTATAATTGAATGGCTTTTGTTCAAAATTATATTATAAATAATTTATTTTGATTAAAAAAATAAAAGATCTAAAATTTCAATCTCTCTTATTTAAATCTATTATTATTAACTCAAAACATATTGTATCAGAATAGAATTTAATTAATTAAGTTCAGATTTGATCAATTAATAATATATAAAGTTTTTATATAATTATATAAGAAATTAAGTTAGCAATAGCTATTTTGATTTTGCGTATCCCTCTTCAAAGACCCGCCTGAGTAGTAACCTCACACATGGTCACGCCCAGCCAAGCTCGCTGTATACAGTAAGTATCACAGCTGCAGCTTACAGCCAGCTGCGGGAATTGGCGCATGCAATGTAACCCCAACACCATCACAACAAGTCATTGACCAATGAAAACATGATGATGACGATTGATTGCATCTTCGTGTAGGTTAGAGAAGTTTCATATTTGGGTATCAATGCCGTCTTCAACTCAACTTAATTTCTTCATGCCTCTCTTTCGTTTCCCGCCAACTTCTCTGCCTTCCTCGATTTCTAACATAGCTTCACGTTTCTTTTCTCCTACCAATTTCAACGATTCTCTGATGACTCTCGTTTCCAGATTTACACCTTCTTCTGTCCATGCTTCCATTTGCCTGCCCACTCTGCTCTCAATGGCTAGAACTAATTGTACATCTCTCTGACCTACGAATGTAATAGCTTCTCCTTTCCTGCCAGCTCTGGCTGTACGACCAACTCGGTGAATATAGTCATCTGGATCTCTAGGGATATCGTAATTGATTACCAGACCCACCTCTGGAATATCGAGACCACGAGCAGCCACATCAGTCGCAACTAATATTCTGGCCGCAGAGGCACGGAATCGACCCAAATTATCAGTTCGTTGTCTTTGTGGAAGCTTAGAATGGAGGGCCGTGACTCGATGATCAAGAAGTCGCAGTAGATGGGTAATATAATCGGCGGTAGCAGTGCGATTGCAGAAAATAATGGCGGATTTTGGTAGATTCTTCTCAGTAAGCAGAAACATGTGCAGATAGTGTTCTCGATGTGTTACAGGTATCTGCAGATGCATCTGATTAAGAGACGGAGGGATTGCTAAAGCCTGAGTATCCACTTCGCAGACAAAGACTGGAAGTTTTCCTGGTGTGCGAGGCATGTCCTTTAAAGCTCGTACTTCTGGAGTAACTGTAGCTGTGAATAGTAACGTTTGTCGTTTGGCGGGAGGTGGAAGGATAGATAGACATTCTTCAACATCTGGAAGCATACTTCCTACGCTACTAGATGCAAGTAATCGATCCGCTTCATCAAGAACCACCATGCGCACCCGGCGCAAAGCACAAATTGTATCTTCACCCGAGGTTCTAATGTGATCTGCCAACCTGCCAGGGGTTGCGATAACAACATGTGGTCGTTGTGCAAGGGCCGTTGCTTGAGGTCGCATATCCGAGCCACCTGTTATCAGGACAGCCTTGAGCGATTGAGGAGATGAGATCGCTTTAAATTGCTCGTAAATTTGTAATGCCAATTCCCTGAGAAAATGATGTCAGCCAGATAGTACCCCATAGTCTTTAAAGCAAGGTATTACCTCGTAGGAGTAAGCACTAAGGCAAAGATCCCGAAAGGATCTTCAGCCCATTTTTGTAGGATTGGTACAGCGAATGCCACCGTCTTTCCAGAACCTGTACGACTACCTCCTATACAGTCCCTTCCCTTCAATATCTCCGGTATGCAGCCCTTTTGAATACCCGTAGGCCGCTTGATGGCCATAGACCCCAATGACCCCACCAACCATGGCTTCACATCCAAGGCAGCAAAAGTAGTTTGCGCATCTGTAGGAGCTAGTATTGCGCTATTGTTGATATTTTTAAGATCGAGGGAACTTTTTTGCGATTTTGCCTTCACCCGCGAGGGGACAGAGGTAGTAGTGATTAAAGGAAAATCTTCATGCTTTGGTTCTTGGGATCTTTTCCGCCTTTTCCGCGAAGTTTGACTGTCTAGAGAATCCGAGTCAGATTGCGAAAGGTCATCTTGTTCATCTTGTTCAGCATCGGACGAAGAATCGTAATTTGATTGCGGGGATGATCCGGGCGCTTCAATTGAGAATTGATCAGCAGTCTCAGATCCTTGAGTAACCTTTTTGGAAGGCATTCTGAATGGCCCGAGTCGTTGTTTGTGTTTTGAAAAAATTAGAGGAAATTATTTTTTCCCTTGCTTCATGGCTCGCTCACGTTGTACCTGCACGTTTCGCGCGCGCTTAAACTATCCTGGCTTGGCATGTCGCTTTTCTTTTATGGGGAATAAATTAAGAGTGAAACAATTAATCCGACCAATAGGAACACGAGAATTGGCATTTACAAGGGCATAAAAGAACCAAAGATCTTGACCAATTCTGTATCGCTGGTATATTCTTAATTGATCTAATTAAGAAAAGGGCAATAAAAGAGACAAGGACCTAATAGGAATAGGTTTAATAATTTGATTACAGTACAGGATCATTGCCATGCTTTACTTGACCCCAGCTACTATTTTCTCGTATATCTTGTGCCAGATACAGTGGTGGACACTGGTCGGAGGCTATATGGGGAGGGGATTCAGGAACCGGCAGTTTGGGACAGCGGTACGGGTACGAGACAGAGCCATCTGCAAGCAACCTATCAGAATCAGTATCAGAATCAGAACCAAGCGGAATAGATGACTTACCTCGGATTAAGCAAGATCATTAAAATTAATCACAATTAAGCAATTGTATATTGAGAAATGATTTTACTGGAGTAGATATATGTAACTCGTACTTGTCCTTCCTTTAACGAATATACGAAGCGACTTGCAGAATCCCCTTTCATCGCATACATCCGGTTCTGGAAAAGACGTTAAACAAATATGAAAATAGAGACCAGAAAGAGATCTAAAATCCGCTTTCTCTGTGTGATAGCATTTCTATGACCATCATCATCATCTTACCTCTTGACGATACCTTTATTACTGTACTGTACTGTACTCTTACGCCCCCTCTCATGATATAGCCTCGACTAAATGATTGGGTTGCACGGAGTATACCGAGTAGAATTCGGCTTCCTTGTTCTTACTCTCTTTGGTATTGTTTGGCTGAATATTAATTGCCCAATTCGCTATTGAAACCACCGAAACATGTAAGTGTAAGCAAGCACCTCTATTAAGTAAGAGACGACGACGACGGCAGCGACGGCAAACGACAACAACTATGGCCAATTCAAGTCAAGTCAAGTCAGTCAAGTCATGTAGTCGGTTAGATATCCAATTCCGGTCAACCACTTGTACCGGTACTGTAAGATATTGGAGAGGCGGGAAATGCTGGTTAATAGAGGTGTGCTAGATCTAATTAGTCTCTATATAAATTCTTTAGTTAGCTTGGCCGTATATACTACCTAGGCCTAGGTTCATATACCCGTTGAGCCGTAGAATTTCTCGAATCAAGTTCATCCCGTTTTGATTGATAGCCAATAATCCTCGAATAGAAAGATTCTTGTTGCGTCCTTCTTAATATGATAATCCATCCTATTCCAATTCATTAGATTGTGCAGTGATGAATTGACGAATTGACGAACCAAAGAATGAAAGGAATGCCTACTCAGTATACTGTAACAATGATTTAAGCCTCCGCCTCTGCCTCTTTCTCTCACTCTTTCTCTCACTCTCTTTACCATCTTGTATTCCGTATAGTCCAAGTAGTCTTCAAGGGTTAAACATAAACTCTGTGGCCCCCGGCCCCATTTTAGCTAGTGATGACTGGTTGCACGACGGCGCATCGACCCCAAATCAATCATTCCCTTGCAGGTCTTAACTTTCCTAGATATCCAATCCAACTGATTCAAATCTTCCTTCTCTTCCTTTTAAACATTCTTTACTTTTACTCATTCACCACCAACATTGCTTGTTTGTTGAGTGGCAGTACAATACGGTCTATTCATATACTTGACACACCTATCTTTTTTACAAACCATTCTTCTCACTCGTTTCAAAATCAACAGGATCAAAATCAATATCAGTCAGTATTGGTATCAACATCACAATATCTCCCCTTCCCTCCTTCCCCTCTTTCACAATTCCCAACTTATTATCCCTCACAATCTACTTTATCGACCCACACTTTGTGACGATAAGCTTTGAAACGGAGACGAGTCTCGGTTTGAATACCTGCAGATTATTACGAGTACTGGAACTGAAAGTCGAACAATTTGTCTCACCAGCCTTACAATATTTACCACGAATATTCTTTGCTAATCAACCCAAGCTGTCGAGAATTGGGAATCGGTCACAAGACGGACTTCGGACCCATTTCCACCACATAAAAGTCTTCCTCGTCTGTAGCAACGGTCTCTTGCAGCGGTAGACTGCACGCCGATGCAAGATCAGTGCAATAAAGAACACCGACAACTGTGTAACCCGATATTCGGTACTTAGGACGACGGCAACGAGTTCAGTCCCTGCCGTAGCCCCTTCGCTCGTGCGCCACGATCTCTTTCGACTATTCTAAGTGTAATATGAGTCGACAATACGAAGACCACACTGCCGATTCGAAATCCTCAAGTAACCTCTCCCTCAACTCATTACCCAACATGTCTTCTCCAGCACCATTATTACGTCCCCCGATCCCTGGTGGTCGACAGAATGGCGGCGCGAGAGTTCCTAGGTTGGGCCTGGCTATACCACCTTCTCCAAATGCTAAACCAGTCAATGCTCTTGCGAAGAAAGGCCTTACATTGCAAATGCCTGGGTCGATGCCTGCACGACCTTCATTACCTCGATTACAATTAGCCACACCTATGGGAAGTAATGCTACACCATATGAACAAACTGGAAGGGGTGCAGTTGCTCCAGGGCAATCTGCAAGTGGAGGAAGTGAAAGTAGTGCAGCACATTCGAGATCTGGAAGCTTTGGGCCCATGGATGGAAAGGGGAGTGGACCAACATCTGCAGGATCACAATATTCTGCATTCTCTCTAGCATCACAATATGGATTGAACAAGCCGCAAGGTACACCAGACCCCTCATCAGCCGTGGGGTCATTATACTCGGAAAGGAGCGATGGAGGTGTTGGTATGGAACGGGATAGTAGCATGAATGGGCTTGAGGCATTTGATAAACTGAGTTTAGAGAGGGGAAGAACGTTAGATGTCGAAGATTTAGATGATGATGGATGGCGGATAGCCAGTATGGAGAAGAGGATCGAGGAGCTTGGGAGTTTAGGGGAGGGAGCAGGAGGTGCAGTAACTCGATGTATGCTGAAAAGTGGCAAGACTGTCTTTGCATTGAAGGTAATACTATATGCCTGATAATAACTTCTACGCCACTTACTGATGTTTCTAGATCATTACCACCAATCCCGATCCTGATGTCAAGAAACAAATTGTCCGTGAATTAGGCTTCAACAAAGGCTGTGCCAACGAACACATCTGCCGCTACTACGGAGCTTTTGTCGAAACATCAACGGCTACCATTTCCATTGCCATGGAATTTTGTGAAGGTGGTTCTCTCGACTCAATCTATCGCGAAGTAAAGAAACTTGGTGGTCGTACTGGTGAGAAGGTCCTCGGAAAGGTCGCCGAAGGTGTTTTGAACGGTTTGACCTACCTCCATGGGAAGAAGATCATCCACCGAGACATCAAACCTTCCAATATTCTCCTATGTCGCGATGGTCAAGTCAAGCTATGTGATTTTGGTGTAAGTGGTGAATTTGGTACAAAGGGTGACGCAAACACCTTTATCGGAACATCTTACTACATGGCGCCTGAACGTATAACTGGTCAATCATATACAATCACTTCCGATGTCTGGTCGACTGGTGTCACCCTTCTCGAAGTAGCACAGCATCGCTTTCCATTCCCAGCAGATGGGTCAGAAATGCAACCTCGAGCTGGATTGATCGATCTTCTAACATATATTGTTCGACAACCTATTCCAAAACTGAAGGATGAACCTGATGCTGGAATCAAATGGAGTGACAGTTTCAAATACTTCATCGAGTGCTGGTATGCTCACTCCCGTTCTTTGTTTGACACAAGCCATACTGACTCTATCACCACAGTCTCGAAAAAGACCCTGCTCGTCGTGCCTCCCCTTGGCGAATGCTAGAGCATCCATGGATGGTCGAAATGCGCGGCAAACGCGTGAATATGGCACACTTCTTGGCTACTGTATGGGGGTGGTAGGAGTATGATAGATAGACTGTTCCCACGGCTCATATCCTGCATCTCAGCGAACCTTATCACACATCATTACTTCACAAATCCAATGGGTTCACAGGATGAAATAGCAAACGAATATGGACTTGACCTATGTGGTAATAGTCTGGCGATAGGAAGAAAAAGAAAGCGAACCACGATGATACATTACATCTAACGACATCGAGCCTTGACGATACGATACGATTATGGCGAAAACATGAATTTACCACAAGCAATAAGAAAGATATAAATACCACACTACGACTCACCAAATTTAGCATCATACCATCTACCTATAATTTTTTCCTTTGTAACAACCATATTACCTCACAATCTACATCTGCATTTACCGGCGTCATTACTTTTTGTTCTTCCTCTTGATTTGGGCTCGGCGAAGAAGGTTATTTTGGTATAGGAGAGAAGCGGTCTTTGGGTCATGGAAAGCGAGAGCGAGAGCGGTTGATGCGATGCGAATGAATAATGCTATAAAGGCTCCTTGTTTTGGTTGTACTATTTACATATCCTTAGCTATCTACGTACCTACCAATCTACCTATCCATCTACAAATCTATACGTGAAACTCGCATGAAATTTTATGCTTGAAATAAGTTGTTTTCGACTAGTCAAGATGGGTTTCCTATCGATTCTAAAGCTTCCTGTTTACTGTATTCGTACAGTGAGTAGTGTCTCGATGGTTGGTATATACTCGAGTAGGTATCGGTGTGTAGGTGTCGTACTAAAGGAAAGGTCCACTTGTCTCACTTGACCGATACTCCATGAAGACGGGCCCTCCCTTCAGGCCGATTGCCCTGATTCCTTTCCTTTCCTTTCCTTTCCTTTCCCACATATATAGATGTTGGATTTATAGGGAGGGTATGTACGAGTAGATAGTGTTGTATGGTATGTTAGGATTGAGATTGAGGTTAGGTTGAGGAATAGTAGAGATACTAGGTTTGGGGAGGGGGATATGCGGTATGTAGTGTGTGGTGTGATGGGAGGGAAGGAGGGAGAGAAGGGGGATAATGATAATGATGATGATGAATGAAAAATCCATACATTGCCCAACAGAATTTGGATTACATACCTAGTTAATAACAAGGCTGATCATCAAGATATATCACATCATCCTCCATCCAGCAATACACAACTCATATACAATATACTGAAAAGAACATCTTACGTATTCATGCACAAAACTATAATTCAAACCCTCAATCCTCTCACTCCAAATATGTATTTACTTTTGTGGTTAAATCAATCACTACATTATAGTCAAGTGAAAAGAGCGACAGCGATAGTGACATTAGAGTATCCGATTGGGAGACAAGTTCACCTTAGAGTGGTGAGTTGCTAGCTAGCTACGACTGATTGACTGACTGACTGGTGATGGAAGTGGTATGTTGGTGGTAGATTGAAGTGTGAGTGAGTTGAGTGAGTTTGGGGAGTTGAGGGTTTGAGGGTTGGAGGAATTGGGGGTTTGAGGTGGGAGTGGATGGGTGGAGTTGATGGATGGATGGATGGATGGATGGATATTTCGGGTTTTGGATTTTGGGGTTTGGGAGGGTAGTGGGTAGTGGGCAGTGGGCAGAGGGCAGAGGGCGCTTGATATGTAATGCCATATACCGGTATGTATGAGCGCAACATCTCATCCCATCCCATTCCATTTCATCTATCTCACCCATCTCATCCCATCTCGTCCCATCCATCTCATCCCATCCTATCCCATATCATCCCATCTCATCCTACCCATCCCATCCACCACCTCAAACCCAAACCCAAATTACAAAAAGAGCAAAAAGAGCAAAAAAAGGCAAAAAATGCCCAAAAGAAATATGAAACGTATTGGAGACCCCAGTTACAAAGTCTGGTCCTTTTGAGGCCTTACGAGTGAACTCCGAAAAGCTACCCGTGGTGCCAACCCATCTTGTTTGTTTCTGGATGTTGCTTCGCTTGTTTGTGTATATATATGTGTATTTCTGTATGTGATGAGGGATAGATGAGGGATATGATGATGAGGTGGGTGGTCGGACCCACTTGTTTGGTGAGGGGGTGAGGGGTACTGGTACTGGTTACTGGTTATTGGTTATTTGTTACTGAGGTGATGGGTAGGTTTTAGGTATTGGGTTAGTGAATTGTGAATTGTGAAGAGATGATCAGAGTAGATGGAGCTTTCTTGATAGCTGTTCTTGAACATATTAAGCACTTTGAGCACATAGAGAAAAAGAGTATATTTGGTAGACCGAAAAGCTTTAGCATCGATACTTCACATCTTGGGAGAAAATACACATGCGAAAATCCATCTTTAATTCCAAATTGCAAACTACAGATACGAACGAGAACAAGCCTACCCCTCCTACATCTTCCTCGCCATGATAAAATAGTGCATCTCATCATCCGAAGCCACACCTGGGGATGGTCGCGGCACGAACAAGTTACTCTTCGTATGAATGATCTCGAACCCAGCTTCCTCAATCACATTTCTCCAACCCTGCTTTGTGAAGGCCGTCATGGAAGAACATCTGGATCCCATGAACGTCATCTCAACATCTGTTGCGCACAATCCATCCGCATCATACATTGAAGATGTTGTTTCGAAGTCTTCGGCGCATATCGTACCCACACATAGGAGTCCATTTGGCTTGAGCCAATCGAACATTTTCGATGCCATGGTTGTCATCTCTTGGCGCGTTAAGCAGAAGAGGGAGAAGATGGCGAAGATAATGTCGATGTCAGGCGTGTTATTCCGAAATCGTGGTGTATATTCCAGCATGTTTGCTTGTTCGAATGAGGCAGTGGGGACGCACTTGAGGGACAGTTCGATCATAGCGCTGGATAGATCAATACCATGAACATTGTGGCCATGGGCTGCCATGGTACATGATACGGGTTTTCCAGTCCCGCAGCCGACATCAAGAACCTTTGCGTTGTTTGGTAGTTCTAGGAGTGTTCTTTCAATGAATTCCTGAAGACCGACATCGTGAGAGAAGGCATCCTCATAGACTTTGGCGAGATGATTATAGTACTCGACAGAAGGGAATTCCGCTTCACCTGGCTTTGATAGGCTGGGAGGAGCAAGTTTGACCTCGCCGATGATAGTTGTAATGAACTTGGGCTCGTCGATGATAGCTGAAGGAGGCATCTTGATGTATCAATTATGTGTTGATTATTTCTATGCATGCCCTCACTAGAGGCCATGCATTTTGACTTTATATGTTGGGAGATGTCAACTTTGTGCGAATTTGCTTAACGCATGTGATCTTGTGCAGAATTGACAAACATATTGGAGGTACTTCGGGTTTGAATGATACATGGAAGATTCAACCAATGCACTCACAAGCTGTGGATATTCCATGAAGTCATAAATGCACGCTGTTTCTGGCAAAAACATCTTCCGAAGCCATGCATTTGCACAGATATTGTACCTTTTTCGTCAAAGTTCCCGGTAACCCCGCATATTCCAAAGTAGAGTAGTATACCAAAAACAAGAAAGTATCGTAGGGATCATGTTTGACATTTCAAGCTGTCACACTGCACGATGAGTGAACTCGCGAAGCATTAGGATTCCGTACTAGGACGTAGCGCCTAAGGTCATTCATGTGAATCGGGTATTATCACAGTGTAAGATCGGTCACCCAAACTGGAGATATACAGAAGATAAATCAAAATGGTCAAATCGGCGTGCAACTGACTGAGTTGGATGAAACACTCGAAATCTGCATCTTTATCTGATGTAATTGGTCACGGATTCGTGTCAACGTCTTTCAAGCTCTGGTTCATGATGCCAAATCACAAAGGACTGTTTTCGTACAAACGGTGCCTATCATAGAATATGTAACTTGTGCAGCAGCGATATGTCTGAATATACCGAGTTGAGTTGCATGAGAAGAATGAAGGAAGTGAAGTTAGAGGTTGTGCGCTAATATGGGACTAGTCTTAAAATACAATAGTATAACGTCAAAAAAGAGGAAAAGCGTGCCTCTGGAGCATGCGTACCTCACCGAATTGTCTAAAATGATGTATCATATATCTGGTGTACTGGATATCTTGTCTTCGAGGTGGAAAGAAAATCTACAATTATTTCGACAGCTGCTGTGCTATGTCGGATGGGTATGGAAGTACAGGTAATGTTACAAAGCATCTTCGCGGATACCTCCCTAATATTTCAACAAACGAATGTACCGTAGCTCCATGAATACAAAAGTGAATCTCTATTTACAGATAGCAGGATCTATGTCATATGATTCTCAAGTCATGGAAATATTAGAAAGGGTGATATTGATGTGAGATACAAAATGAAAGTGATCCTTCGTTAAAAGGAATAGGGGTTGAATCCAGAGTCCTTGCCGTCCACAGATGGTGGCCATGACCCAAGACTTCGCAATAGGGCATTCCTTGGCTGATTTGCATCATTGCACTGCTGTTTTGATCGACATCTAGTTTACCGAAGAGATCAAAGTACACGCAAAGGATGGGAAATGTTGTCTAAATTTGAGATAGCAGTTACAGTCCGGCAACCGCGAGATATTGAGCATCACGACACTACTCGAGTATAGTCACAAAGGGTTTGCGGGTACTCCGAACGTTCCACACCTATCTTGATTACGCGAATTTCCATGGCCATGGAAAAGGCATGAATGGTTTTCTGTTGTGCTGACCAACTGTGAAAAGCACAAGAGTCGATTATATGCTGAGACTACGCAGCAACAGCAATCGAGTATCATTGAACGTCATCGAACTTCATAACAGCAAAGTTTTGAGGCATTAGTTTCTAATATTCTCGGCGATCTCAGAACGTATCTAAAGGATATCGTTCGACAAGCACCACATATTGTCCGACTATCTGTGTACAGTAATCTCAGAGATAACTATACTGTCATCTGCAAGCTCGTTGCACAACTGATTTGGCAACGAGATAGACCGCTAGCAGATTTCTTTTAGAGAGCGCTGTGCTACTCTGAGCATGCTCAATGGAGACGTCCCGTTGTCTCTGAGGCGCTCAAAGCAGTTCTTGATCGACTGCAGCGGACCATGATTTCTGTAGATACTCCGGAGAGCTATAGTGGTCATTCATACTCCCATGGTACGCGCATACTGGCGGCAAAACAAGCTTTACAGTAGTATCTTTTTTTGTGACAATTTTGAAGACATTGTGAATTATACGTTATGATTCCTCATTTGAATCCATATCTGAATCGGAAAGACGCGAAAAACACCCCTGCAACGTTTTTAAATAGCCATTGGCTAATTGGCTCTTTTTCTCGAATACATTCATCCATTCACAAATATGGGTTTATTTAGCATGATTGTGTGTGTGAATGCGTGAATGGCGACAACCTCAGATCTTTGGGGATTTCTATATTTAAATCAGGCCACCGCATTGATATTTTGTTTGATCAAACCAACAGAAGACAAAAAGAAAAGAAACAACCTACCCAATTAATCTGAATTCAAGGACAAAATTAAACTCCCTAATTGAATAATATTCAAAATGAGAGCTTACTGGTTTGACAACAAGGAGGTAAAAGACCCCTCACCCCACTACATTACCCCTCCATATGCGCGTTCTAACAAATATATTTTGCAACAGGGCGACCAACGCGAACTTCACGACTCCGGTCGCAATGTTGACCCCGAATACTTAGAGAAGCTTGGAGTTCTGTATTACCACTTCGCAGATGAAGAGGATGTCGATAAGCTTGCCCATGATAGAAGCTACAAAAACCGCGATGTAATTACGGTTTCACCAGAGAAAATGGGCGACGTTTACGAGGAGAAAGTCAAGATGTTCTTTAAGGAACACTTGCATGAGGATGAAGAGATTAGATACATCAGAGATGGGGCGGGTTTCTTCGATGTTAGAAGTGAGGGCGATGATTGGGTTCGTATTAGGTTGGAGAAGGATGATTTGATCGTGAGTTATCACGGCACACAGAGATCATGTTTGGATCTGAACTAACTTTGACGGATAGATTCTCCCAGCTGGTATTTACCATCGTTTCACCACCGACGACAAGAACGTATGTCTTCATATATGAGCCATCTGCGATCGTCATTACTGACAGGAGAAATAGTATATACAAGCAATGCGACTGTTCAAAGAGGAACCTAAGTGGACACCTTTGAACCGGGGCCCAGAAGTCGATGCCAATCCATACCGCAAGGAGTATTTGCAGACACACAATTGATTAGAGAAAGTGGAATTCTATACCTAAGAAATGAAGCGCAGCAACCTGGATATGATAGCATATGATGTTTGATAGCAACAATACAATTCGAGAACTTCTAAAACAATCTGTACCCAAGTTATGATTATGGCACCACGGTATCGTAATGCATCAATATTCGATTGATAGACGGGCAAGTCAGAAAGTCCTTTTGATGATTTGAATCCATTCTATAGCTTCCATCCTTCCATCTCATGATTAGGATTCATCTCACTTGTCTATTCCCAGCCTATCCTATCTCATGATTACCTACCTAGGTATCATCTCACTTGTCCCATCCCATCCCATCCCATCCCATCGCCAACATTCACCATCACTGACTGCCCAACAAGGTAGAAAAGATGCCGAGGTTCATCATGCCTTGCCGTATCAACGTTGTCAAGTGAATGAGGATATAAAATATAGGACGAATTTTTTGGATAGCGATAAGAGCTTGTAAACAAACCGATAACAAATCGCTACCAAAACACCACCAAAACGCCCATCCTCCAGGACAGCGCGATTTTCTTAGAAATTCGACGGGACAGTTTTTTCCAAGATCCTGAAACCTCTGCGATTTCGAATCTGCAATAAAATTTATACTTTTCCCAAAAGCCTCAAAGTTGAAAGTGTCCACAGACATGCAACAAAACTTTTGGGAAGTGGTTTACAGTACCCCACAATTGCCATTGCGCCAATCAATCAATGTACATTAACACCACCCCAAAAGTCACACAACATCGCATCCATGATCTGCCAACTACAAATCAGCACACGATATCAATACAATATAAAGGATGATGGCGGAGGCAGAAGGGTCTGCAGATATGCTCGACTTCGACCGCGACTCTGAGGATTCAACGCCAGCATCGGGACAGGATGTCCCTTATCACAGCCATCCCCACGATAGCCTGTCTCCCGAATCCGCACAATGTGTCGAAAACAACATTACCAATTCTGACGGGAGCAAAAAGATCAAACTACAACTTCCCATGAGTTGCGATCCCCCGGGACCAGGTAATAAGACTAGATCAAAAGTTTGGGTGGTGAGCGTGCTCCATTACGCCCTGGCACATAGCTTCTCTAACTAGGTAGCCAAGGTCATTCCACAGCTTCCAACGTACTAATTCAGTATGTAGATATTCGGCGCCACTGGGCACATGGGGCAGAGTCTCTTGCGCGCTTGTCTTGATAATGGTGACGAGGTCGTTGCCGTCGGTCGCATCTACGAAAACACACTTGAATTAATGCAGAAATCATTTCCGCAGACGAACTGCTTCCACACACTTTGCGACGTGCGCGTACGAGAATCTGTTTCTGCCGTGTTAGATCAGGCCCTTAAAAGGTTTACCCGCATCGACGTTATAGCCAATTGCTCGGGCTACGGCGTCATCGGCGCCTGTGAAGATCAAGACGAGCACGAGATACGCAATCAATTTGAGACGAATTTCATGGGCACGGTACATATTATACAATCGAGTCTACCATACTTCCGCAAGCATGAAGCGGGGAGATATTTGATCTTTAGCAGTACTTCCGGCGCATTGGGGGTTCCGGGCTTGGGACCATATTGTGCGACGAAGTATGCGGTGGAGGGAATGATCGAAGCCATGTCTTATGAGATTGATGCTTTTAATATAAAAGCTACATTGGTAGAGCCAGGTTTGGTTAGGAGAGATGAACCGGAGTGGGCTTCGAGCCCACTACCTACTTGGGGACACTTTTTGATCAAAGCTCCTAGTGAACCGTACTCTGATCCGTCTTCCCCAGCGCTGCATGCGAAGAGGATGATTCAATGGCTGGGGGATAAACAGCCTACGAGTGCCCAGAAATGCGCGGAATTGGTTTGGCAGTTGGGCCATTGTTCGTACCCGCCTTTACGATTACTTTTAGGGAGTTACGCGATAGAGAGTATCAGAGATCGTCTACGGTCAATCATAGAAGAGTTGGAGGACTGGACGCATTTACATCATCCCGTAGCCCTTGATGAGGAGCTTGATAATGAGGAGGATGGTGAGGATACGGACCGGCCTGCTAAGAGAAAGAGTGCGGATCAAGCTGCTAATGCAGCGATGGCAGAAACGTTCAAAGTAGAGTCGGAGGCGGACAGCAGCACATGACAATATCTAATGAGCTACCATTAATAGTAATAATGACAGTATGGTATAATTCCGCTGTTGCTATTGCTTGCGGCGGTGATGTGATCAAATGTCCGTGAAACTTCGGTACATGAAAATAGCAATACGACCAAAGCAAATGTCTGCCAAAAAGCGCTCTACGAAGCCTATCCAGGCGTACTGAAACGATATACCAGCGACAACAATGTCCGCTCACAATTTCATCTTAAATTCCAAACGCCTTCCCATGCAATCTTGTACCAATAAGTTTTTATTTATTTATCTTACTTCCGGTGCTGGTGCGGCCGCCATTGCGATATCGTTGTTGATTGCATCCGCTGTTTCCTGCCTTGGCTGTCTCTCGAATAATCTTCTCCAGAACATTGGCGGATCAAAGGGACGTTGTCCGTTGTGTAGAGGTGGATAGACGTCCGAGAAGAAGTACCAGATGTGGCCAATGACAACTCCCATCATTTCATCTTTTGGAATCGTCCCATGTAATACTAAACTGAATCCCATCAAGACCCAAGGTAAATATGGAGCTGTGAAGACCAGTAAACCAAGGAAACTTAGTTGAGTATCGGGATTCCTTCTCGACCAAATATATACTAGAGTTGAGGATAGCGGATGCCCTAGGAATGGCATTGAGACTAGAGGATTTATACAGATAAGACATGTTGTTGCATACAGTAGCAGCCACGAAAAATGCGCTGGTGATCGACCGGATGATTCTTCGAGGAGTCGTGAGTATCTGGTTAGGAAGAAAACATGGAAAACGAGATCCAAAGACAAAGGGCCAAAGTATATAAAGGTCGTGAGAAGGCGCCAATACTAGTGGAAATGATCAGCCACGTCCCGCACAACAAAAGTCAATACGGATGCAAAGAGACAACAACTTACCTGCGATTTGACAAAGACAGCTCGGAAGCTATAGAACAGCTGAAATGGAGTAACAATTTGACATTGAACCAGCGCGCTTGTAATCACCGTGGCCGTCGTCCACCACCGTGTACAAACAGGCATTTCCCAAAACCATGTTTCCAGGGGAAATCCAGCCTGTCCGCCTATCCCGCCATCTCCATTTCCCATCATTTGATCCATAATCGAATGTATGGGGTGGTGGTAGTGATGCGACAATCAGGCTCGGCTTCTTCGAATGCTAGATACAGATACAACAAGGGTGGGTGGATTGCGGATTCGAGTTGGCTGGGTATTTTCTAGGTTCTGAAATAAATAGGCTGAAGGAATCTAAAATCCTTTTTTCTTATGATTGGAGGTAACTAGATAATTTAGTTTAGTAGTATATGTCTGGGAGGGATGTCGTGGGTTTGGTGGTTTTATTTGTAGGTTTGTTTGACCATGTTGTCCTGTTCTTTCGATTGTTAATCTTTCATGGAACGTCCCGCCGGCATTTCGGATGGTCCTTGTCGTAAGGCGAGGCTGATAGTTTCAGGCTTACCTTGCCTCAGGTCAGCCACATTTCTAGTTGGTCAGAGCTTGAGAACAACAACAAGGTTGTTGTTGCAATGGTCTTAACTACAAAGTCGAACGCGTACATTCCATATTCCACATTCGCGCAAAATCACGTCCCAGCCACCAGACTATTCTCAAACAATATCAAATCAATTGCGAATCCACGCAATTGTTGCAGAAAACATTTCTCAGAATATCATAGAAGTATTCGTCGCTACCACAAGAAGTCGCAATGTCGCAAGTGCAGAAGAAAAAACAGCGTTTGTCGCCAGATGAAGGATCAGCATCAAGCAACTCAGGAACAAGCGCAACGGGCAAACAAGCCGAAAAATCCGTTGTGGTTAGGGGAGGTGCAGGGCGCGCTGTTCAACGTAAGCTGGATTTATTATTGTAATTGTGGATGTGATGTGCGCGCGTGTATTGGAAGGGGGGCCGCGATTTGTGTTCGAATTAGGAAAATGATTAAAGGAAAATGATTAAAGGAAAATGATTAAAGGAAAATGATTAAAGGAAAGTGATTAAAGGAAAATGATTAAAGAAAAATGATTAAAGGAAACTATGCCAATTAAGATCAAGGTACTGACATACCTCGATATTTGAATAGCCGGAGATCCAGTCCCTCGAGGAAAGAAGCGCCGTTATAAGCCTGGTACATTGGCTCTAAGGGAAATTCGCAAATTTCAAAAGTCTACCGATCTTTTACTTCTCAAACTCCCCTTCTCCCGTTTGGTACGTACCTGTTCCCAATCCCAAATTAGCGGGAAAAAGCTAACAAGGCGCGATTCTAGGTCCGTGAAATCGCACTCTCCGTACGTCCTGAAGGTGAGGGTATGCGATGGCAATCACAAGCTATTCAAGCGCTCCAAGAGTCGGCTGAGGCGTTTCTCGTTCATCTATTTGAAGATACGAATTTGTGTGCTATTCACGCCAAGAGAGTTACAATTATGCAGAAGGATATACAACTTGCGAGACGTATTCGAGGTGCATGGGGCGGTTTGGGCTAAGCTAAGGATAACTACATGCTTGAACGCTATGTAATGCTTTCTGAATTGCTTGGGAGATCTGTCGAATTGGCTTGTTTGATTAGGGACTTTGTTTTCATTGGGGGGCAGGCGTATATGGTTGCATGGCTTTGCACATTTTGTACAAGTCTGGCTGGTATTCGAGCTATATTAGGATGTACAAGCAATATGTTCTATGCTCGGTTAATGGATTCTTGCTCTTCTCTAACAAGAGACTTGGCTTGTTCAGCCAAGGTAGCGCATCTTCGTTTGAAGATATGCTCCTGTCTATCAGAACTTATCATCCATCATCCATTTTTTCAGCTGTATGTAACGGTTGTACCCTCTTGCGCAGGCTCTAGCAATTTCCAATCGCACTTGATATCATTCTTCGCAAATGTATCTAATATGACCTTTGCAATTGCATCGAAGTTCCCCGTTGCAAGCGCAAGAATAGTTGGACCAGCTCCTGATAGACATATTCCACAGAGACCAGGATGAGATTTAGGAGTGACAGATTGTAGAATCTCAGGCAGACCTGGTATCAAACCTTTCCTGTAAGGTTGATGCACCTTATCTTGCATTGCAAGGTAAATTTGCTCTGCATCAGGTGGTGATCTGCCCAGAGCGGAAGGGAGAAGAGCAATTCTCTGAAGGTTGAATACTACATCTGACCTGGAATATGAAGATGGCAGGACACTTCTAGCTTTTGCCGTAGCGACTTCAAACTGTGGAATGATTGCAATAGCTTTGATCTCGGAGGCCCAGGGGAATTTCATGTAGTGTCCGATTCCAACCGGTGGTTCGGGAGGATTGGATCCAGTGTCTACTCCTCCGGCGGGTTCGGGGAGAACTTCACTGAGAGGGATTTCTTTGCGTTCTGTGTCTTCGGCGCTTAGTTCGTTGAGATATGTTCCTACGAATCCACCATATAAGGCTGCAGCTACATTGTCTGGATGTCGTTCTGGATGAAGTGTTAGATATGTCGAGGCTAACGGGCAGCTGGACCATACCTATCATGAGACAATAATCCAACATCCTAGCCTTTGACAATTTCAAATTTCCAACTTCATTGGCTAGTGCCACACCAGCCACCACTGCAGCACCAGACGATCCGAGTCCTCGTCCCAATGGAATGGGGTTTATAATATGAACCGAAGTCTCGGAAGGAAAGCTTCTCTGGCCATGGCATCGCAATACATATAATGCAGTTCGTGTAATGAGATTGCTGTCAGCGGTCAAGGGAACCTCTTCCGCGCCTTCTCCTTCATATGTAATTATGCAGTTGAGAGGGGCTTGGGATGTGATTGATGGAGTGACTTCGACCTGCAATGTGAGCCATATGGAGAGGGCGAGACCTATAACATCGAAACCGGGGCCAATATTCGCAGAGGAACAGGGTACTTCTATTTGTACGTCAGTTTCGAAAACCTAGCATCGATGGAGACCATCCAGAGATTTTGATGTCGTTTTATGCAAACTTTCAATGAGAGGGTAGAGTTGACGGACTTATGGTAATCATTTTGATCGACGATGTCTTAGAAGTTCGAGACTGGAAGAATAAATTCGAGGTTGCGCATAGAATACAAGAGCTATGGAATCATCCGATAAAACCCCACTGTACGTACTGTAACTTTTTTTCATCAGCCTTGCCCGATATCGCTATGAACCGCAAAATCTGGTATGTGGGACATTCACAACCTCATCAAACCAGGGATCGCCCGTCAGAAAGTCTGATTTGTTCGCTTGTACCAGACGTTTTTGGAGTCCGCCGTGAGGATCCATCTCCTCCTACACTTTAGTGATGCAGTACATACAAAAATGAGAACGAGAGATTATTAAAATAACATGAGAAAAAGAAGATATATGGGATTGAATTCAAATATTGACATATAAATTGGGTTCAGTTCAGATCCCTTCAAATGTTATCGGCTAAATCATGGAGGGGTAAATTATAACGTGTGGGGGGTGAGTCGATGAGCTCTCAGGGATATATTGGCGGGGTCCGAGAATTTTGCCGGGCGGTGGCGGTAGCACTAGCGGGCACAAAATGATCCTGATGATTAGATTAAAGTTTCTTCTCCAGATCTCTAGTCAATTCTCACAAAGCAAATACCTCAGCACAATTCAGAGCCTCACGATGGAGCCCATTCGAATCCTTCTTGTTGGAAATGGTGGTCGAGAACATACTTTGGCTTGGAAACTCAGCCAATCTCCCCTCGTCGAGTCCATACTCGCAGTCCCAGGAAATGGGGGAACCGCAAATTGCCCAAAAGTTTCCAATGATTCCAGTGTCAAAGCAGATGACTACCCTGGACTTGTTGCATTGGCCCAGAAACATAATGTCAATTTGGTGAGCATGATTGGTTTTCCCCGTTTTTTATTATATCTGAATGTCCAACTTGATGTTTAATTCTGTTTGGATGTTCGATTCTCTTTGGATGTTAGATTCTCTTTGGATGTTAGATTCTCTTTGGATCTTCAAACATCTTCCCAAGGCCTTTAGAAAAACAACTACTGACTCCACAAATGTAGGTCGTACCAGGACCAGAGGCACCCCTCGTTGACGGAATCGAGGGCTATTTCCGTGCAGTAGGAATACCTTGTTATGGACCCTCGAAAGCTGCTGCTCGTTTGGAAGGAAGCAAAGCATTTTCGAAAGACTTCATGAAGAAATATAACATTCCCACTGCGGCTTACGAAAACTTTACCAATTACGAAGATGCGCGCAAATACATTGATAGCATAAGTCATAATGTTGTCATTAAGGCCAGTGGACTGGCAGCTGGAAAGGGTGTTATCATTCCAACTTCGGCGGAAGAAGCTCACCAGGCTTTGAAGGATATCATGCTTGATAGAGAATTCGGGGATGCTGGAGATGAGGTTGTCATTGAGGAATTTCTGGAGGGCGATGAACTCAGCATTCTCACTTTCTGCGATGGCTATACTATGCGGTCTTTACCTCCTGCTCAAGATCACAAGAGAATATTCGATGGCGATCTGGGTCCAAATACTGGAGGCATGGGCTGCTATGCGCCCACCAACATCGCTACCAAGGAATTGATCGAGGAAATCGAAAGGACCGTATTGGAGCCTACGCTTAACGGTATGATCCAGGAACGTACACCATTCATTGGAACTCTTTTCACTGGATTAATGATAACTAAGGATGGACCAAAAGCTTTGGAGTACAACGTTCGCTTCGGTGATCCAGAAACACAAACTTTGTTACCATTATTGAGTGCAGACACGGATCTTGCAGACATTATGCTCGCATGTACTCAAGGATGCCTTAAAGCTGTCGAGATTAAGATTGATTCAAAATTCAGTGCAACAGTTGTGGTAGCTGCTGGCGGATACCCAGGTCCTTATGCCAAAGGCACACCCATGGAAGTCGACACCCCTCCAGCCGGTGCTAATATATTCCACGCTGGCACTATCGTGAAGGATGGACAATTACAAACATCTGGTGGTCGTGTCATCGCAGCACAAGCAGTAGCAGAAACCCTGGAGCAGGCTGTAAAAGATGCTTATACTACTGTCGATCTCATCAAATTTGATAAAATGTTTTACCGCAAGGATATTGCTCATCGGGCTTTCAGATCTACACCTGCCACCAAGGAAGCACTTACATACGCATCCGCAGGTGTCAGCATTGATGCCGGTAATGAGTTTGTCGAGCGTATCAAGAAAGCGGTTGCTTCCACCCGAAGACCAGGAGCTGATGCTGAGATTGGTGGTTTCGGTGGAGAGGTCGATCAACATATCGCTGGCTACTCAGGTGCTCCAATCATGGTCGGTGCTATCGATGGAGTCGGCACTAAACTCATGATTGCACAATCTATGGGGAAACATGACACAGTCGGTATTGATTTGGTTGGTATGAACGTGAACGATTTGGTTGTTCAGGGTGCCGAACCACTTATGTTCCTTGACTACTATGGCTGCAGTCAATTGAAGCTCGAGAACGCAGCAGCTTTTGTAGAAGGTGTTGCTGCCGGATGTAAAGAAGCCAACTGTGCACTTGTCGGGGGTGAAACCGCCGAGATGCCCGGTATGTACCAAAAAGATGATTACGACGCTGCAGGTACCGCTATCGGAGTTATGGAGAAGGAATACAGATTACCCAAAACAGAGATCATGGCAGAAGGCGATATTCTTATTGGCTTGGCATCTGCGGGAGTTCATTCCAACGGATTTTCTCTCGTGCGAAGAATTCTCGAGAGAGAAAATCTCGCCTATACAGCCACTGCTCCATGGGATCCTTCAACAACCGCCGGTCTAAGTCTTTTAACACCCACTCGCATCTACGTCCGCTCTTTACTTAAAGTCACCAAGAAGCACCTGCTCAAAGGCTTGGCCCACATCACTGGTGGTGGCTTGACTGAAAATGTCCCTAGAATGTTGCCGTCTCATCTGGCTGCAGAGGTCGACGTCGCTACTTGGCAATTACCTGCTGTGTTCAAATGGTTGAAGAGCGCAGGTAACGTCACAGCTAGCGAGATGGCTAGAACATTCAATACAGGTATTGGAATGGTAGCGGTAGTTAGCAAGGAGAATGTGGAACAGGTCGTTAGAGAATTGGAGGAGTCTGGTGAGAAAGTCTACACTATTGGAAGACTGGTGAAGAGATCAGGTGAAGGTTGTGAGTTAAAGAACCTGAACTCTTGGGATCAACTCTAGGAAAGGCAAGATGAGGGATTGGTGGATACGAGGGACTATGAATGAAAATGGCGTTAAGGGATTAGGAATACCATGAAGTTAGAAAATAGACACCAAAGGAAAATCAAAAGTTACATGCTGGCTAGTAAGTAGGTGATTGAGTATCAAGTAGCTAGCTAGAACTTGGCTGAATCCAAGCAACCAAATGGAATGAAGATCAAGAATACTAAAACGTTTTTGCAACCACATGCTTCCAAGTGTCTAAAAAGTACTCTCTATTTATTGTAGAGCGTTCTGAATAATACAGTTCCGAGATGAGTTGAGAATCTCTAGGTATGCACACAACCTATTTTCCATGCCTCTATGCTCAATCCTGCCAGTTGATGCCACGCCGAATGAACCTATGTACCTTTTTCCCTAATTTTATCCATGAAACCAATAGCATAAACATACAACCACACCTGTGACTTTATTTCCCCTTCCTTGTATCATCCATCCATTCATTCATTTTATCCTCAATTCAATCTTATCCTTTCTACCATTTCCATCCCCCATTCTCACACAGCATCTTCATCTACCAACCCCTCCCCTGCATCTTATCCTTAGGATCCATGGTCCCACAATTCAACCCAACCATCGCCTCTCCCAAATCCTCACTCACCTCCGCCAAAACCTTCGCATCATTAAAATGTGTCGTCGCTTGAACAATTGCCCTCGCCCTCTTCGCCGCATCTCCACTCTTGAATATTCCACTACCGACAAACACCCCATCACACCCCAACTGCATCATTAACGCCGCATCCGCAGGCGTCGCAATGCCTCCTGCGGCAAAATTCACCACGGGCAAACGACCCAGCTTGGCGGTTTCCTTGAGTAGTTCAAAAGGCGCCTGGATATCTTTGGCGAGGATACGGAGCTCTTCGTCAGACATGAGCGAGGCGGCTCGGATCTCAGATGTTACTTGGCGTTGGTGGCGCACGGCTTCGATGACGTCGCCAGTGCCGGCTTCTCCTTTAGTGCGGATCATGGCGGCGCCTTCTGAGATGCGGCGGAGGGCTTCGCCGAGATTGCGGCACCCGCATACAAAGGGGATGGTGAAGGGGTGTTTTTCAACGTGGTGTACGGCGTCGGCGGGGGTGAGCACTTCGGACTCGTCAATGTAGTCTACGCCGAGTGATTGCAGAATCTGTAGGGGACGAACGATGGTTAGATGAGGTGGAGAGGGTATATGGGGACGGGAAACTCACTTGACATTCGACAAAATGACCGATTCGGGCTTTGGCCATCACGGGTATCGTCACCGTCGCCATGATCTCTCGAATCATTTTGGGGTCCGACATGCGGGCTACGCCTCCTTGAGCTCGGATATCGGCAGGTACACGTTCGAGGGCCATAACTGCTACTGCACCGGCTTCTTCTGCAATTCTTGCCTGGGGGAAATTCGTTAGTGGCGTTCATCATTTCTGTTTGGAAGGGAGATAGACAGTGATGGGAAAGAAGGAGAGGGTAAGGACTTACTTGCTCGGCATTCACTACATCCATAATCACACCTCCCTTTAACATACGCGCAAGACCAGTCTTGACGGTGAAAGTTGAGGAGGTATTACTGCCATTTCCATTGGTGGCGCTGGTGGGGAGTTCGTTGGACATTTTGTTTGTATCGTTTATCATTTGAGGTGAAGGTAGGTAGGCAGGTAGGTGAGTTTCAATGAGTTGTAATGAGATGAAGTATTCAGATAGAAGAGAGTTGGTATGTATGTAAAGGTCAATTGAAGAATATAATAATCAAAAGTCTTGAATATGTAGTCAGAGAAATAAAAGAAATTCCAATTATAAAATAGTTTTATAAAGTAAGTGAATGACTCTACCTCATCAGTAATAAAAATAATTCAAAGTATTTGATTCGTTCAATTCGTATAATTCGTACCCTCCGATCGGTACGGAGACAAAGAAAAGTTATTAGCTCCCAAGCCTCCTATGCTCACTTACACATTAAGACATTAAAGCATTTTGATTGGTAGAGAAAAGTAAAGTTGCGTATTCGTAGAAAGAAGTGTCACACTGTTATACGCCCTTGTGTGTGTTTGTCGATCGAGGGGTATTTGATATCATGGGTAGAAACGGCTGGGATCGGGGGAAGGAGTTTGCGAGATTGTGGGAGTTGGTTGGTATTTCAGTCATGGAATTATAGGAGATAGGAAATAGAGAATAGGAAATAGGAAATAATCGGAATGATGGGTGAGAAAGAGTTTGCGAGAATTGATATTGATGCAGGTGGGAATTTGAATACATTTTAGAGCGTTGATGGGGTTGATGGATACGAATAAGAATTAAGAGTCAGTAAGATGGATAATTATATAATTATCCGGTAGTCGGTAATCGGTAATCGGCTCTCGGATTATAGTCCTGGTCAGTATGAAGTCGTAAGGTAGAAACCGAAATACAAGTACGTACTCGAGTAACCCCTCCATTTCTTATCGTAATCGCCATTTTCAATCATGACGTCACTGAAACCCTCCTCTTATCAGAAACATCAAAATTGACTTCATTCTATTGATCTATTGATCCATCCATCCATACAAACAATACAAACAAACAAACATCAACACACATCAATACCAACAACACACATAACCCAAACCTATACCCAAAGTTCTCAACCAAACCACCTACCTAATTCCGCATCCCCAACTCCCCCGCCTCCCCGCCTCCTCCCCCCCTAAAGAAAATTATGTCCCGCCTTCTCCTCCGCCCCATAACAGCAAGTGCAATAGGCCTCACAACCTACACCAGCTACAGCCTCCTGCACGCCCATCGCTTCCCTGCACACATGGATTCCCTCTCTTCTTCTCTCTCGAGCTATTCTAGCAATGCAAAGACGCCGATTGTGAAGAATGGGGGAGGTTTGAATGCGAAGGATGTGAGACAGATTAGTAGTGGGAGTATTGTTGGTATGTTTATTGTTTTTTTTTGGTGTGATGTTTGGGGAAAGGGAGAGGGAGGGGAGGGGGAGAGGGAAGAAGGGATTGGAGGGAGGGATTGAGGGAGAAGTTGGACGGAAGGGGAATGGAAAGGGGAATGGGAAGGGTGTGTGATTGTGATTGTGGTACGGTAGTATTATAATGCGAGGAGGAAGTAGAAAAGGAAGGAAGAGGAGCGGAATTGGGAAATGGGAAAAGAAAGGATCAATAAAAAAGGAGCTAAATGTGTAGGATATGAATGATAATATGCTAACGAAACATAAAAAACCACAGGACTAGGAGCCGGTCTAGCAGTTAGTACATTTTCACGCTCATTAGCACTTATAATAGGATTATTGGTCGTGGGTACACAAGTACGTATTCATTTCCTCTCCCCTCTTTTCCTCTTTCTTATCTTTCCTCCCTTCTACCCTTTCCCTTCTCTTCCCTTGGCATTGGCATTGGCATTGGCATTGACATTGAGAATTCCAATTTTTCCACCTCTACCTCCACTCTATCTCGTCTCGCTGCCTGCGTGCCTCCTCGCCATACCAATTCTAACACCAACACCAACACCAACACCAACACCAACACCAATACCAACACCAATACCAACACCAATACCCCTACCCCTCCTAATCACTCCATCTCCATCTCCATCCTCCCTCTCCCTC